TTATCTTCCATTAGTTTCCCCTGTATATTTCCTTCCCATGATTTACCACCCCTAGAAGCCCAAACTCCTTTTCCTTTGTCTTGTCACTTCTCTGGCCCTTTGTTAAGATGGTATATAAGCCCCAAATTCTAACTACTCCTCTGAGTTACTCACCATTGAGTTCTCCCACATGTATGTATGTTGCATGCATAAATAAACTCTGAGGTTTTTCCTCCTGTTAATCTGTCTGTCATCAGTTTAATTTGCAGGGTCCCAGACATTGAACCTAAGAAGGTAGAGCAAAAAGCTTTTCTTCCTCCCCTACAACTACATTAAAAATAAGAAGTTCTGTTCATCCAAAGACACCATAAAGAAAGTAAAAAGACAGCCACAATCTGGGAGAAGATATTTGCAACATCGTAATCAACATAGAATTGTAACACAGAATATGTAATGACTTCCTACAAATTTATAAGAACAACTCCCTGTTTTAGTTTCCTAAGGCTACTGTAATGCATTACCACAAACTGGCTTGCTTAAAACCACAGAATTGTATTCTCTCACAGTTCAGGAGGCCAAATGTGTGAAATCAAGGTGTCAGCAGAATTGGTTCCTTCTAGGGGCTCTGAGAGAGAATCTGTTCCATGCCTGTCTCCTAGCTCCTGGGGATTCCAGCAATCCTTGGTATTCCCTAGATTGCAGCTGTGTCACTCCACTCTCTGCCTCCATCATTACAGGCCTTCTTCCCTATGTGTATCTTCTGTGTCTCTGCATCCAAATCTCCCTCTCCTTTTTCTTATAAGGACACCAATTATTGGATTCAGGCCCACCCTAATCCAGTATGGTCTCATCTTGGTTACATCTGCCAAGACCTTATTTCCAAAGAAGGTCCCATTCACAGGGGCTGGGGGTTATGATGTGAACATATCTTTTGGAGGGGTACAACTCAGCCCACTTATATATATAGCCCAATAGAGAACAATAAAAATAGAAAAAAGGGGGAGGGGGCAAAACAGACGAAGAGGAAACAAAAATTGCTAATAAACAAAGAAAAATATGCTCAACATCATGAGTAATCAGAGAAGTGCAAATTAAAAGTCACTGTGATACCATTCTCCACACACTAGATTGGTAAAAATAAAGAAGTGTGACAATGTAAGCTGTACTTGTTGGCAAGGACTGAACCAATGGAAAGCCTCATACACTGCTTGGTCAGATAATATTTAGTATAATCATTTTGGAAAACAATTTTGCTTATCTTAGAAAAGTGGACATATGTATACTCAAAATTCCAGTCATTCCACTCCTAAACTGATACTGTCTGAGAAATTCTGGCACATGTATATCAAGATATATTTAAAAGACTATTCATTAGTGCATTTTCCATTATAGCAAAAACAGATAAAATAAAACAAACTAAAAAGAAGTCATAGTCCATCGACAGAAGAATAAAAAATAGGGGCAGGCCCTGTGGTGTAGTGGTTAAGTATGCACTCTCTGCTTTGGCGTCCCAGAATTCGCTGGTTTGGATCCCGGGCGTGGACCTACGCACCACTCATCAAGCCATGCTGTGGCAGCAGCCCACGTACAAAATAGAGGAAGATTGGCAATAGATGTTAGCTCAGGGCCAATCTTCCTCACTAAAAAAACAAATAAATAAGTAATAAATAAATTATGGTATACTCACACTATGGAATATTATAAGCAGTAAAAGAAATGGATGAACAACTGCCAGCTACAAATAGATGAATCTTAAAAACCTAATGTTGAGTGAATGCACAAGTCATAAACATAGTATGTTAATGACATGGAGTCATCATAAGTGTGACATACAATATGATACCATTTATGTAAATTTCAAGAACAAAACTCATCAATATATTGTTTAGGGAAACAGAAATATGTGATTAAAAAACAATGATAACAACAACTATTTTTTGAGAAAGCAAGGGCATCATAAACCCAAATCAGGAGCATGGTCGCTAGGGTCACCACCCACTGCACAACTCCAGGGGTGCCATTTTCACTGCAGTTCATGTGAATGATGCTGCGGATGAGTATGCAGTTTTCCTAGAGTTACAATGCCGTATATGGTGGTACTGGTGTTTACCATCAGGGGCAAAGGCAGGTGAATGGAAAAGACGACTACATAGAAAGGTGGGCAAAGGGTATAGACTGGCAAATTAAAGAGAAAAAATCTGAATAGCCAACGAATATATAAAAACATATTCAATCTCACTACCAGTCAGGGAAAGTTTACAAATTAAAACAAGGTACCATTTTCCATCCATAAGATTGACAATATTTAAAAATCTGATAACATAAACTATTAAGGGGAATGGGAAAAAATACAACTTTCATGAGCTTGTGCAAATATAAATTAGTATAATTAAGCCATTTTTGGCAAGATTGAAGAAAAACATACTTACTCTAGGACCCAGAGATTCCTATTTTAAGTAAGCACACTGGAGAAACTTTCACAGAGTGATATCTCTGTAAGTGCCACCACTGCAGTGTTTGAAAGAACCTAATTGTTCTTTAGTAAAGAAACCAATAAACTGGAAATACTTTACATATGAATTGTATAAAGGAGCCAAAATGCATGTATAAACACGAAATGAATCTCAAAAATAAAGTGGAATGAAAAAAAGTATCACATTATTTATATTAAATTTTAAAAATTAAAAAATATCTCATATATAGAGTAGATATATGTGACATAATTAGAACTTGTTACATGTTTGTGTTCTTTGTGTGCTGGCAGGAATGATCTGGAAGAGTAACAAAGACTGATGATTCAGGAAAGAGGAGGGCCTAAGGACAAAGCTCCTTGAGAAGGTAAGAGGGGAGGTGTTCAGAGTGGAGGGATGGGGCTTTGTAATGGATTGCTCTTAAAATGTCTTTGGTAACTAGCTAAACTTGAAGTTTGGGATAAGTAAGGTGAGGCAGTGGAAAGGAACTTTCTTCTCCAGGTAATTTTTCTCCACTTAAACAAGCAAACAAATAAATAAATAGTAAATAAATTGTAAGAGAAAATATAAGAGAATAAAATCTAGCCCATAACAATATTCAGAGTATCCAAAGTGAGGCTGCTCCTCCTGCCTTAAAAAATAACTTTAAGCTCATCTACATGGCCCACCAAAAGCACTGTCTGATTTACTCATCTCTTTACTTAAGATTGAGTATTTGAGCTAAATTAAAAGCTGGAGCCTAGATTTGTAGGCTTAACTCCTAGCTCAATTCCCAGTGTCTTGTGGTCTGACCTAGTGCAGCCCGGTTGACTGAAATGGGAACTTAGTCCCCTAGGTGGTCTAAACCTGTGAAAACTACAATGCCCACAATGCACTACAGCAGGGGCTCCTGCCCACTGGGGAAAAGAAACAGGTTCCTGTGAAAAAAAAAATTAAAAATCATAAATATGTGTATACACACACATTACATGTTAATCTCACAGCAGTTTTATATGTTAATTACCATTTTAAGTTAAAAATTAACTGGATTCATCTAATGAAATGTTTATATTTTTAAAAGCCAATGACTAAATTGATTCTATGTAATCCAATACCACTGTATTCTTTGATCTCCTTCCATAATCACGCATAATCATACAGCAATTTTGTCACTTTATAATAATACTGATTAACCCCAGTTACTGGCAGATTTAACAATTTATCTGTAATCTTTTCCAAATCACACTAGTAAATGCAACTGTGTATCGCCTATATAAAATGTCAACAGTAGAAACTGAATTGATATAATACATAAAGTTGTATCACTTCAGCACTTGAAACAATTTGTAACTGCTTTTTCTTACTGCACAAACGCAACCAAGCAGCCACGTGTGAAGCAGTGAGCAAGCAGTGGAAAAGAAAGTGTACAAGTCTTAGAGCTGGTGCAAAGGACGGGAAAGAGATGAGAGGATGCTCTGAAAACAAGAAAAAAAAATCGTTATTTCTAATTTAACAGAACACGTATCCCCGTGAACGTTAATGTGAACATGTATGAAACAATGAAACAAATAGTCCCTTGGAAGTTCTTTTAATTTCTGGTTCATCTTTTTACATCACAAAAGGGCTGTTTCCACAAAGTCTACTGCTAAGCAGTATTTTTAGAGTTGGGTTTTTTCAGGATTTTTTTTGCCATCTAATCACCTACTGCCTGATCAGTAAGCTGGACAGGTATGACTAAGTTGATTTTTTTTTTTTTTTTGCTGAGGAAGATTCGCCCAGAGCTAACATCTGTGCCAGTGTTCCTCTACGTTGTATGGGGGTAGCTGCCAGAGCATGGCTGCCCACAAGTGGTGTAGGTCCACGCCTGGAACTGAACCCAGGCCCGGAAGGAGAGCATGTGGAACTTAGCCTCTAGGCCACTGGGTGGCCCCTCAGTCCATCTTTTATTTTATTTTTTTTTAAATATCTTTTTTTTTAATTTTTTTATTCATTTATTTTTTCCCCCAAAGCCCCAGCAGATAGTTGTATGTCATAGCTGCATGTCCCTCTAGTTGCTGCATGTGGGACGCAGCCTCAGCATGGCCAGAGAAGCAGTGAGTGGGTACGCGCCTGGGATCCGAACTGGGGCTGCCAGCAGCGGAGCGCTGGCACTCAACCGCCAAGCCATGGGGCCCGCCCTCAGTCCATCTTTTAATTGCTTTATTCTTGAAAGGATGTTCTGAACTTCCCTTAATATTGTCAGTGAATTCTGGCACGAACATCGTGAGTAGATTTTTCTGGAGACAACGTCTATCAAGTCTCAAAGATGTTCTAAGGGGTTGGTGATCCCCGAGAATCCAAAGCCCACTGCATTAGATAAGCTCTTTTCAGCCACGTGGAACCACGCGACGCTGGCTTCCGGGCTCAGCTCAGAGCCTGGCCTGTCCTGAGGCGGCTGTCCCCGCGCAGTCCTCCGAGGCGCGGCTTCCAGCAGGGGTCGCTGTCCCGCCGCCGCCGCAGCCGTGCGCCCCGGCCGGCCCGCTCTCCCCGCGCCGGCGCCGACGGAAGGGGCGGGCCCTGGGCGGGGCGGGGCCTGGAGGCGGGCGATCGGCGGGGCTGCGGGGAGGGGGGGAGGGAGGAGCGGCCTTGAGGTACAGGTAACTGTGCGGCTTTCTGACGCCCCTCACCCGCGCTCCCTCTGTTGTTTCACCGCGCGCACCTGTAAAATACGGGCGCGGCGAGCGCCTCTGCCCCGCCCGCGCTCCTGCCGGGTCTCCACGTGACTCTCCAGCGTCCTGCCCCGGCCGGGCCACCTCGGGACGCCCCGTGGACCAGGGGGCTGCAGGGGTCGGGAGACCCCGGCGGGCCGAGGCTCTCCGCCGTGGGTCCGGCCGCTACTGCTGGCTGCAGACGCAGACTGGGAGCTCGAGGACGGAGGTGTCCAGTTTCCCTTGACCTTGGGGACGCGGGAAGGTGCTCGGCCCGGGGGGGTGGGGAGGGAGCGAGGGGAACCCGACCCGGTCCCAGCGGGCACTCCGCCTCTGAGGTCTCCAGGAGAAGGGAGGATTTTTAGTTGCAATAGATCTAAAAGCAGTTGGACTAAGTTCTCCTTACGGAGTAGGGAACAGGCTCGGGAGCCTGGAGCGAGTCCCAGTGTCCCGCAGGTCAAGGACAGCGTTGCCTCTGTAGCGCAGACTTTGCTTTTCTTACAGCCTTCGGTTAGTTCACAGCTTTTATACTTCTCCTGAACATCTCACCCGAAACCTCCGCGATGATCCTCCTACTCATGTCCACACCGTCGCCAAAGAAATCTTTTAGAATGCGCTCCTATCGGGTCACTTCCCTACTTGAGATCTTTCTGTGGCTCCCATGCTCTCTGGGTCAAGTCCAGACTTTGGTATGCAAGGTCCTTGGAGATCTACCCTCTTGCCCATCAATCCAGCCCCATCTTTGTTCTTTTCCGGGTTCATTCCAAGGGTTCCAGTTCTCTTGTTCAACTTTCATTCCACAGTATTTAATTAAGCACTTACCATGTGCTGGGTACTATTCCGGCCACTTGGGATTCAGCAGAGGAAAAAAATATAGGTGAAGATTCCTACCCTTGTGGAGTTTATATTCTAGTAGGGGAGACAGGCAAAAAACGAAACAAAACAGTAAATTATATAATAGCTAGTAGTAAGTGCCATTGGGGAAGAGAGTAGAGCAGAGTAAGGGGAGATTGGGAGGGCAAAATGCCTGTTAAATGGAGTTGGAATGAGTAGACCTCATTGTGAAAATGAGTTATCCGTGCAGATAGATATCTGGGGTGAGAGTGTTCTAGGCACAGCTGGAACAAAGGACTCTACCCAGAAATGTGCCTGTTGGTTATGCAGAGCATCAGGAAGGCCCGTGTGGCTGGAGCTGAGTGAGCAAGGGTGAGAGGCAGGAGATGAGGTCAGAGAGGAAATGGAGGGGCCAAAGGTAATGCTTGGCTTGACATTTTGATTATGTTTATTGTATTTACATGTGAGTGTGATTTTAAATAGTTATTTTGTGCTAGTGAAAGTTTCGTCGTGTAGGTAAATATAATCTGTTTGTGATGTATGCAGAGAGCAACATCGTATCCAGGCATTCCTCCTAGGAGACAATGGTGTGGCGTAAAGGCAGAATTTTGGGGTGGAGAATGTGGGAGTCCAGGGACTGACATAGAAGCAGGGCTTCCCTCCCCCAGGATGTCTCCTCTTAGGACTTCTTCCAAGTAGGGGTGACAGTTCTCCCACTCCTCTATTCCTGTCTGTTTTTGCAGTTGGTAAAGGTTAGCTTTTGTTCAAGAGAAGAGGAGAAAATAAATGTCATGGTGTGGCAGAAAGAGCAGTGGCCTTGGAGTCAGAAGTCTGACGGGCAGTTCAGCGTGGTGGTGAAGAGCCTCAACTTAGAAGCCAGAGAGCCTGGGTTTGAATCCACTTAATATCTGTGTGACCGTGTGACTGAGATGGGCTTTTTGGAAGGAATAAATAAGTTAATATGTAGAGCAGTGCCTGACCCATAGTAAACAGTGAGTGTTAAGAAGAGTTGGCATTGGAATCCTGGCTGTATGACTTAACAAATTGTTAAACTGCTCCAAGTCTCATTTGTACTTTTCTGTAAAATGAGGGAGCTGCACAAAGTTACCCCTGAGAGGCTGCCCTTTTCGTCTCTGCAGACACATATGGCTTTGGGGTATTGTTAATTGGAGTGGAACATGCAGCCAGGTCCTGAGCTCCAAGGCACACGTATGGCCTTTGGCATGATACCTGATAGCAAAACATAATTTACTGAAGTTATTCAGACCAGTGTTTTCAAACTTTTTTTGTTCTCCACAGTAAATACATTTTACAAGGTGACCCAGTGTGTGTGGTTATAGGTATATATGTATATGTGTAATTGTAACAAGAGTCTCATGAAGCAATATTTACTCTTATTATATGTGATGCACTGTAATATTTTCTATACTCTACAGTTGTAGTTCTTAAAAAGTAAAAATTTTAATAATGGCTCATGACCCATAGTTTGAAAAACAATGACCTAAAGATAGGCAAATCCTCATTATTAATACCAGTCTTCATCTCCATAACATGAGCATCTTATAAAGCAGTCTGGTCCAGGCCCAACAGCAGGTGGTGATTTCAACCATAGGTGTCTTGGCCCATAACTTAAACATCACCTGGATAAAGTCTTGTGCGTGTGTGTGTGTGAGAGAAAGAGAGGAAGATTGTCCCTGAGCTAACATCCGTGCCAATCTTCCTTTGTTTTGTTTGTGGGATGCTGCCACAGCATGGCTTGATGAGCGGTGTGTAGGTCCACGCCCAGGAGCTAAACTCATGAACCCCAGGCTGCTGAAGCAGAGCACACGAACTTAACCACTATGCCACTGGGCCGGCCCCTCACCTGGATAAATTCTTATGAGTCTAGAACTTAGGCCCACCACAGAATTCCTGAGGCTGATAGAGAACTCTGGCCACTTATAGTTAACCTTCCTGTGTGTTTTGGGTGGGTGGGAGGGTACGAGAGGCTCTGCTTATGAGTGAATTATTTTTCTTAAAACTTTACACTGTGAGGAAAATATGCCAAAATGTTAACAGTGGTTATCTTAAGAGTGGATTATGGGTGGTTTGAGTTTTCTTTATATATTTTTATAATTTTCTACTATGAAAATATATTTCATATATAATCATTGAAATCTCCTTTTTCTTAAAAAATTATGGTAGTAATAGTGGCAATTACTACTAAAAAGAATTCTTACTTGGCAAAATAAAGGATAAAAAATATCTTTACTTGGCAAAATAAAAAGTAATCCACCATTAGGTAACTTTTTAAAAAGTTATTTTGTTTGTGGTGATAGATGAAATGCAAAGTCTGGGAGCTACTGAACTATACTATTTTCTTCCTTTATCCCTAATTATAATAAAATTTAAAGTTCTTTCTATGAATGGTTATTATTCATTCTCTATTAAATTAGATAGAATATGTGTAAAAGTAATTTCTTTCAATATATCTCTTTAAGGTGCTTCAGGTAGTTTCTAGTCAGTATTTTAGAGTACTCTATGGATTTTATAGCATTTAAAAATTATTTCAAATTATAGTAATATTGAAAAACAGCCCTTAAATTGAGCCTGCTTTGTTTCTCATTTAAGACTCATGTTGGGGTCCCAAGAGCAATGAGATACAAAGTTGAGCTTGTGTCTATCTCATTCATGCCAACAGAAATAAGGCCCAAAATGTTAACAAATATAGCTTGGAAGTAGCTACCTATGTGTTTTTGAGTATGCTCACAGATAACTGCTGTTGTCAGCTTTGTGATGAATGGAAAGTAGGAAGGAAAAGTCAGGCAAATCATTATCAAATCAGTCTGCAAGTATAGCCTTGGCACAGAGGAAAGTCATCTGCAGACTTGAAGCATGAGGATATTGACCATATGGCAGCCCTTCTTGCATTACTAAATCATGGTCTCTAAAACCATCTCGATGTACTTGGGAAGGTCTGCCACCATCATAATAAGATGATTTCTGCTGTCTTTGAGGTGATACAGGAATTGGTTGCTCTCTGGCATGTCAGCACCTCAGTGCTTCAGGAAATAGTTACCTAGTTTGTGGGTCTCCAGGCCCCTTCCTTCTCTGCTAGTTAATGCGTCTGTTAGACAGTGGGAAGAAGATGTAAAAGGAGGTAAAATGCAGATCTGTCAGTTTGCTCATTCCTGGCTCTGATTTGCTGGGATTCGAGGTTGAAATAAAGTTTAGAGCTTCACTCTGGGTTTTATGAAGTCATGATCCAGTGTCCTTGAGCAAAGTCAGTATTGTAAAGATGTAACGTATGTCAGTAAATAGTCTTTCTCCCCATGAAATTTTCGTTTTTTAAACAAATCATTGAGAACTATTGTTAATATTTTTCAGTAGCAGTCAGTACCCAAGCTAATTTGGGGGATGAAGAAGAGTGGAACCAATGTTTTCACACACATTAGTATCTAACTCAACCCTCCTGATAACCCTATGAGGCAAGCATAGTAATTACAGCTGGAAGACTCACCATGGTACAGTGCGTGGCCGTCGGTACGTGGAGACCAATAAGGCCTTTTGTAGGGAGAGTAAGTACAGGACTAGATAGAAAGTGTTTGGTGTGTGTGGTTTATGCTGTAAGAATGTCAGGACACTGCAGTTGTGAAATAAAACTGAATTATTGTCTGTTTCAGGTCGTATGCACCATGGCTGTGGCTAGTGTCAGATTGCCCACCAGTGTTTTAAGAAAGCCAGATGCTTGGATTGGACTCTGGGGAGCGCTACGAGGGACACCTTCACATAAACCCTGTGCTTCCTGGAATCGATACCTATATTTTTCTAGTACCAAGTTAAATGCATCAGATTATAAAATGCTTTTCCATAACATTTTCTCCCTGAGACTCCCAAGGCTTTTAATATCTCCGGAATATATTTTCCCATTTTCCATAAGACTCAAAAGTAAGATAAGCTCTAAAAAATCCACAAAAAAGACTCTGCAAAAAGTTGAAGATGAAGAGGTCTCTGATGAAGAGAGTGACCATCATGAGATGAGCGAGCAGGAAGAGGAGCTCGAGGACGACCCCAGTGTAGTCAAAGACTATAAAGACCTGGAGAAGGTAGTGCAGTCTTTGCGGTATGATGTTATCCTGAAGTCAGGCCTCGATGTTGGACGAAAGTAAGTATGATGTGCGTTTTATTAGAAAATCACTTGTCTTGTTGGTGATTTTAATGCAGCATTCCCAGTCACTCATATTATAGTGAAGAGTAACCGTAGATATGAAAGGACCTTATGGGTGACCTGTTTCCCTTATTTCATTCTATAGATGAGAAACTGATTTCCAAAGAAGTCAGGTGACTGTCTGCAATTCCCATGTGCCATATTTCCTTGATTTTAAGACACAATTGACTATAAGACGAACCATTGATTTAATAACAACTTTTTGAGGAGACAAGGCCTCACATGTTAGATATATATAGCAAGCATAAAATGCACCTGGGTTTCACAAATGCAACAGCGTGAGAAGGTACCCCTTAGAATCAATGGAAGCAGTGTAACGTGGTGATGAAGAATGCAGGCTCTGCAGCCCGACTACTGGGGTTTCAATCCTGGTTGTGTGTGTGACCTTGGGCAAGTTACTTAAAGTCTCTGTGCTTCAGTTTCCTCATCTGTGAAGTCTATAATAGAACCACTTTAGAAGGTGGTTGCTAGGATTAAATGAGCATCTCTCTATCTAAAGCATTTATAACAGTGCCTGGCACATAGTGGGTACTCAATATATGTCAGCTATTACGAAAAGAATACTGTGTGTGTTCATATATAGTGCACAGAGATATTAAGTGTAACTTTCAGGATTTCTTTAAGATTCTTGTTCTTTCTCTGCTAGACTACTTATATGAGAATAGTGACCCTCGCTGTTCATTTGTTCCTTTAGCAATCATTGTGTGTGCAAAGTAAGAACTGTGGTATGAATAATAAATTCAGAAGGATTTCCTTGGGTAGTTTGTACCTTTATGACCTGATTTAGTGGCATAGTTTAATTTTTCAATCCATGAAGCTTAAGGACTCATAAAGATGACTTTGAGTCCACAGCACCCTGATTGAGATTTGTTGAATGTTCTCTAAAATCTGGCAAACTAGTAAGGAGGCCTCTCCCTCTCCCAGACTAGTAGCTGTTGCTGTTATTTTTAAGCAGAACCCCAGATGTCAATCACCTGGAGTCACAGCATCAAGAGGAAAACAGCGCTGAGTTTTGTCTGCACCCTCTCCTGGTCTAGTTGCCCCAGTGATTCAACTCAGAGAGATCAGGAGCTACTGGATTGGAATTTCCCCAACCTCAGTGCAGACTAACAGAGAATTTCTTAATGGCTTCACCATACATGGGGTGCCTGGTTTTTCTCTCGGAGCTGAGAGGAAGGGAGTGCCCACTGACCTTCGCTGTTGTGAATTATGGGAGCTACCATCTCGCAGGCAGTGGCTGCATAGGGAGTCCGGTGGAGTACCTCAGGCCTGTCCTGAATGGGGCTTGGTGCACTGCTAAACCCTCTGGGAAAGCCCCCATCAGAGGACTGACTACGTGCCTAATAGTACTCGCAGAGCTTTGCAGCAGTTCAGCATCTGTTCGGCAATGCTCCTTGATCTCCATGGTTTAGATACATGTGGGAGCAGCTGACTTGCACTTTCCCGGCACCCAGAATGGAGATTTTGTGGGGAGGTCAGTCAGTGTCAGAATAAGCATTAATGGCAGGTGTTTTTCTCAAATTGTATAATTGTTTTGAATATATTTCTATTTTAAAGCACTTTGACTTTTTTTTTTATAGCAAAGTGGAAGATGCATTCTACAAAGGTGAACTCAGGCTGAATGGGGAAAAACTATGGAAGAAAAGCAGGACGGTGAGAGATTACGACAGCCAGATATTTTTGTCTGTTGCTCTGCCAGTACTCAGTGCTGCCCCAGTTTCCCCTCAGGCTCCTTACTTGGGGCATCAGTGGCTCCTTGTGTATGTCTGTCTTGCCCTCTCTGAGGTCCCCTGCAGCCCTGGTCACGTTAGTGAGAGTCACCGGCCAGCCTCAGTCACACAGACTGCTGCTCTTTTGCAGCCTTAATGACTTTGAGATGAAGCTTCTCCTTTTTCTTTAAAATCTTAAGATAAGCCACTATCAGAACTGACAAAAATCCGGTAATTAAACTTCCGAGTCATTAATGTTAACCCCCATGAAATCATAGTAATTAGGCTAAAAAGAAACATCTGATCAGTGTAGAGGTTTCCTTGGCCTGCTGTTACCTGAGCAGATATGTAATTCTGTTCAGCTCAGGTGTGCTCCCTGAGCACTTGCTGGATGCACTGCTCTGGGTGCAAGGCAGCTATCAAAAAGGAGGTATTATATTTTCTGACAGCTCCATATTAATACTATTATTAAGTGAAAGAAGTCAATTATAAGAAAATGTATTTCCAGTATCCATTGTTGTTAACAATAAATCATATATATAAATTGTGTTAAAAATATGTATTTTTGTAAAAATAAATTACATATATTCATACATCTAGAATTAAAAGATTAATATTACTAGTATTCCCCTTTGGGGAATTATGGGTTATATTTTCTTTATGCTTTTAATTTTCTGAATTTTTTACGAGTATGTATCACTTTCATAATTGGAAAAAAACGATAGTAGAAGTTAACAAAACACCATAAAAACATCTATGACAGAGACCCTTAAAAAGTTTGAAAACAGAGATATACGAGGCATTGGCAGACATACTCTAACTCTCAGTCAGTGTCCAGAGAACAAATGTTCCAGGAAGTTGGACACATTTTGGAGGCTGTTTTTAAGATTCTTTCATATTTCAAAACACCTCTGGGGTTGGAGGACCAGAGCTGCATCCTGTTGCCCTGAGACATGGGAGGGTGTGAGCCATGGGCCCGTGGACCTGGGTGCATGCTGAGGCCTTCTTCAGAGTCCCTGCTCCCTGGGATCAGACACGTTCTTGTGGCTAAGTGGACAGAAAGAGGGGGACTCCCCAATGCTTGTTGCAGCTGCCACATCATGAGGCCCACGATCCCCTGACGGCACCTGACCCTGCAGGTTCAGATTGCGGTGTCAGGCGCTGTTCAATGAGCTTCAGGGAATCAGGCTCTCCAGACACGCATCTGGAGATCAGGCCCTTCTAGTCCCTTAACTACCTTTTCCTGGTTGTAACCCTGCCCTCTCCTCGGCTGCAGTGTTCCTAAGACAAGAACTGTTCTTGGAGCGCGAGGCCTCTGTGCCAGGGCCTCATTTACAAACACTTCAAGTCTGTTTTTATCCCTCTGCTTTGATATATTAACTACAGCGTAATTGCTGCTTCTTCATTCTGCTTTGGGTGTTCTGTGTCTCGGCTGCCTTCCAGATTTCTCCTGAGGGTCAGCAAAGGAAGGGGCCAGTGTTAACACTTGGCTGCCTCGTTACTAGGAGCACTGGTAGCCATAGTAACTGCAGCTAAGGGGAGATTTGAAATGTAGATATTTGGAACAGCCCCTAATCCCAGCCAGTTTTGCTTTGTGTCTGCTGTGCCATCTCCCACATTAAAAAGGACAGGGCCTTGCAGGGAATAAAGAACACTCCTCTTCCTTTCCGTGGCCTGCTCTGTGGGGCCCATGCCCAGCTGCCGGCCGTGAAGGGTCAGGGGCTTGTCTGATGCCACAACTCTAACCCTGGCTGCCCGTAGCAGATCACAGCTTCTCTGGGAGCTGCAAACCAGCTGGGGCCACAGTGCTGGACGTGCCAGGTAGCTGTTGACTTAAACAGGCTGTAGGGAGCCCAAGTGTGGGGATCAAAGCCTTAGTGAACTCACCTCTCCCTGGGATTGACTGGGCAAGGGAGAAACCTTCCTTCCCTATTCTCTGCCCTAGAAATAAGCCGCCAAAGGGATCCGCTCTTCGGCTACATGTTGCCTGCTCTTTTAAGGGGCAGACGTCACGCACAGTATATCTGTGAAAGGATGCACAAGAACCGATGCCTTTTCTTTGTATATCCTTTTATTTATTTATTTTCATTAATTCATTAATTTTTATTTTTTATTTATTGATTGATCGATTGTGAGGAAGATTAGCCCTGAGCTAACATCTATTGCCAGTCTTCCTCTTTTTGCTTGAAGAAGATTGTCCCTCAGCTAACATCTGTGCCCATCTTCCTTTATTTTGTATGTGGGATGCCACCACAGCATGGCTTCATGAGTGGTGTGTAGGTCCCCACCGGGGATCTGAACCCACGAACCCTGGGCAGCTGCCGAGGCGGAGCACTCAAACTTAACCACTATGCCACTGGGCCAGCCCCTGTATATCCTTTTAAATTTTGTATCGTGCATATATTACTTATTAAAAAATGAATTTTAATGAAACAAAGTTATGCCAAAAAAGGTAAAATGGAGGTCCCAAGCCTTATATTCCTGGACATTGATTTTATTTGTTTTGTTTGTTTTGTTTTGTTTTGTTTTGTTTTGTTTGTGAGGAGAACCAGCCCTGAGCTAACATCCAACGCCAATCCTCCTCTTTGTTGGTTTTTGGTTTTTTTTGTTTGTTTGTTTGTTTGTTTGTTTTTTTGCTGAGGAAGACTGGCCCTGGGCTAACATCCGTGCCCATCTTCCTCTACTTTATATGGGACGCCGCCTCAGCATGGCTTAACAAGCAATGCCTCGGTGCGTGCCTGGAATCTGAACCAGCAAACCCCGGGCCGCTGCAGGGGAGCGCGTGCACCCAGCCACTCGCACCACCAGGCCGGCCCCTCCTGGACATTGATTTTAAATGTCCACACAGTTGGGCCAAGTGGTCATTTTTTTTTTTTTTTTTAGTTAAACCCAACAGAACTGCAGGAGGATGACCCCCACCCACCCCAGGGGATGCCTGGGTCAGCCCATCCTTTAACCCTGGGGGAGAAGCAGTCTTCATGCCTAGCTGTGGTATGAGCCTTTCTGCTTCTCAGCCCAGAGTGGACAAAGTTAATGGTTTAAAATCAGACCCTGCATGAGTTTTACATCCAGCTACTCTGGGTCACCCCGATTGACCAGTGTGGCGTCAGTTGTACATCCCCATGTTGTAGACTGAACATTGGGCCTGCAGAGGCCGTGAGTGGCTGGGAGAACAGATATGGGCTTGCCCTGGGGAGATACAAATGTTCAGACAGTGTGAAGTTATGACTGCCTCAGAGAGCATTAATTGGAAAATAAAGTGAAAGTCAGCATTTGGCACCCTGTTTTTTAAACAGAAGCCCTCCAGTAGGCTTTTAACTGGCCACATGTGCCCACATAGAGTCCATGGCCTCCCCCTCCTTGGGAACAGTGGTGAGTGGTCTGCCATGGCCCCTGGTTGTCCCTGGTTGTGTTTGAGCAGAAGCAGCATATGGCATCTAGGTCGGTTTAGCCCCTTCCTTAGTCACTGGGCAGGTCCTGAGCTGCCAGGCCCAGGTATCCGTCATGGGCTGTCTGCACCCTGGCAATACTGACATGACTGCCCTAGGGCATGCCCTGCACTAGCTCAACCCAAAGCTCCCATCCGGGCAAGAATGAGTTTGACCTCAGCCCTTTTAACCCACTGAGTCAGCATCAACTCTACCCTCTTCTCTGGTGTTCCATCTTTCTGAGTTGTGTTTTGTCTCTTTGTGATGATGTGGCATCACTGGGGCCGCCAGTGCTAGAAAAGAAGTTCCTTTACTTCCATTTCTCTAAGAGATACAGCTAAGCATTGTTTCACAGTGACTAATTTCCAACAACCTGCCCTTCCCCAATTATGTAGCTCATCTGGGTTGAAATCAATGAAAAGTGTTACACTGAAAATTGTTTTCCCAGGGCATGAAGTAATTACTGTGCACATATTCTCTAAGATTGTGCCGCACTTCCTTGGTCTTTGCCATTGTTACCAAAATAATGCCTCCATTCAAGTGTTTGCTCAAATCACCCTCTAGAGGCGAGTATTTGAGCCACTGCACCGTCCACAAGCAACCAGTTGCCTGGGTCTGAAGGAAGGACACTGGCCAATACGGGGCCACATGTGTGAGGCACCCTCCCGGTGAGGCCCTTTCACCCCCAAGCACCTGGGACGAGTGACTGTTACAGAGGAGATGGGACCTTTTCTCACCTGCCTTCCGTGACGGTCACCCGGTGAAAACTCCAAGCGGGGATGTTTGCATTGGCCTGTGTTTGCCAATAGTCAAGACTCAGTTTTCTTCTCATTTTCAGGTGAAAGTGGGAGATACATTGGACCTTCTCATTGGAGAGGATAAAGAAGCAGAAGCAGAGACAGTGATGAGGATTCTCCTGAAAAAAGTGTTTGAAGAGAAGACTGAAAGTGAGAAATACAGAGTAGTGTTACGACGGTGGAAGAAGTTAAAGTTGCCTAAAAAGAGTACGTCTAAATAAATGGATTGCCTTTTAGTGATAAAGCTGCTTTCTCGTGGTGGGGGAAGGGGCCAGCTTAAAAAGAGGACATTTCTATTAAAATAAAGTTCTCTTACCATTGGTGGAATCTGCTGAGCCATTTTGTGAAAATCGAGATCCTTATCTTGGGAGACACTTCTCGTGGCCTGGAATTCCCTCCCGGGCTGGATTTGTGCTCATTTTGCGCTCAAGAGCATGAATGTCATGTGCTGAGTGAACGAAGCCCAGAGAGGGTTTAATGACTAGCTTGCTGTTTCCCACATAAACTACCTTGGGAGTCAGTGTAAAATAAACTGGCCTTTTGTTAAATGTTTTTATTTCAGTTGTGTCCCTGGCAGCCAGCTTCCCTGGGTTCAGGCCTCCTAAGGCAAAACCAAGCAAAGTCAAGGTGACCCTTCATATCCTTAGGGGAGAAGCATTGGGAGAGCCCCTTGTCCCCCGGCCCTTCCGAATTACCAACGTGTTGGCCCTAGTTCCCTTCAGTTTGCTTCAGAAGTCTGCATGGGTAAAGTTGTTCCAACCCTTTCCAGATGGGCTAGTTAGGGCCCATTTAAAACTAATTGTTTACGGCAGAGGTTGATAAACTAAAGCAACCAGAGCTTTTTGTAAGGCACTCAAGCTAAGAATGGTTTTTAAATTTTTAAAGGGTTGTTTAAAAAAAAAGAAAGAAAATATATGACAGAGACCTTATGTGTCCTACAAAGCCTAAAATATTGACTGACTGACACTTTACAGAAGAAAATTTGATGACCCTTCTGGTTTAGGGTAATAATCTGAGAGTTTAATTTTCAGGTGAAAGTAGAAAATGCACAGATTTTATCAATGAAGAGAATAAAGAATCAGAGACCAATTATTCTAATTTTGAAGAAAGTGTTATAAAAGAGACAAAGCCTAAAAAAAGGGTATTAGAGGGGACACACACACACGATATAAATCATCTAAGAAAAGGGCGTCTGCACAAATAAATTGGTTTGTAGATTCCCAGGAGTTGTAGCTCAAAGCAGTGGGATGTTTGGGCCCGAGTCTGAAAGTCTTACCAGCTCAGATTTCAGAAGACTCAGGAAAATCGATTTTTATTTGAAAGCTTAAATAAATTCTCAGGAAGAAATAATATATACTGTGCAGTGTAACAGAGGGAATTTTTCTATTTTACCACTTGTTAATGGGCTTTACTGAGTCATCAGTAAAAATAGTACATTTGATTTTAACATAAGTTAGTTATTAATCATCATTTAGGAAACTATATTGATGCCCCTACTTTTTCTCATTTCCTTCACCTCTCTGTCCTCTCTTTCCCTCTCTTCTCTTGACTTCTCTTTGGAAAATGATAGAAAGCCTAAGAAGTCTTGGGAGGTGAGGGGAGGCAGCATGATCTAGTGATATGTCAGGGGTCTTGAGGCCTTCTTGCCATTAGCGAGTTGGGTTACCTTGGGCAGAATTTGACCTTAACCTCTCTGAGCTTCATCTTCCTCATTGGTCAGGTGGGGATCAGGATACTAATTGCCTTACCTTTTGTGTCTCGAAGGAGGAGGAAAGCTAAAAGGTGTTGTATGAGGTAAAGCAAGTTGATGGTAGCTAGAAAGAGGAAGGGCCATTTGAAAGGCTTTTTGAAGCGCTGTTGATAACTAGAACCTCAACTTAGCTGTTTGGCAAGGTTTGACCCATTCCAGACTTCTCTGGTTTTAAAAATCAAACTAAGAAAAAGACATCTGATGATGGAGAACGTTGGTTTGGTCATAGCACGTGGCAAAAACTGATCTCACTCGTTGTCTACAGTGCAGGGGACTTGGAAGGTATCTATGAAACAGCAGAAACAAAAGCAATTCATAAAGATTTGTGGCGCTCTTGCAGTTCACTCATTACTCGATCCAGATGACAGCTGCTTTATAATGCATCCTGGCAAGGCCTCCTCAGTGAAAATGTGACCAAGATGGTGAAAAGAGTCAAGAAATATTTGGATGTTTCTAATGCAGTGCTTCTCAACCAGGGGTGATTATGCCCCCCGGGGACATTTTACAATGTCTGGAGATATTTTTGGTTGTCACAACTGAGGGGCTGGTATGGGCATGGAGTGAGTAGAGACCAGTGATGCTGCTAAACGTCACACAGTGTACAGGATAGTCCCACAACAGAATTATCTGACCCAAAGTGTCCATAATGCTGAGGCTGAGACACCCTGCTCTAATGGGATGATGACACAGAAGAATTTTTTTTGTTAATAGTTCTTGCTTTCCCAGGAAAGTGAAAATGCTTCTAGTGTATGTTTGCAGTTTTTAAAGGATGAACAATTTAAAGTTATGACTATTTTGGTAGAGGCCTATCTAGCCCTTTTACCAGTAATGGTTAATCCTTTCAAAGACATAGCTCATCTCTAGGAAATATGATGCTAATTGCCTTTATCTGCCAAATAGCATTTACTGTCTTTCCTGGAAAATTATATAGATGCCTAGGCAATAGTTTCATTATCTTTTTAGCATTTGGGGGATAATGCTTAAGTTATGGTTTATTTGGTCAATAATGATTAGAGAGACAGAAACATAACTACCATTTTTCAAGAAATTACAAAGAAAGATTTCAGTTGGGGGTGGTGTATGTTCCATGAACCTTCTTAAAGGGTGTGCAGTGTATGTCAGGCAAGTAAGATGACACTACTAAAGTTCTGCCGTATCTTGGTCATATATGCTTGGCTTTCAGAAAGTTACTGTCAGAAGTATCAGTCAACTTACAATCTCAAGGGAGTAGTGAAGGAAATTATTAACTGCATCGAGCAGATTCAGGAGAGCAGGATGTGTGCATTTCTCAAACTGCTTTCAGTGAGTCATAGAGGTAGCTTGAAATCAGTCACGGTAGGCGTATTTCCACCTTGGAAATCGGCAACCACCACGAATCAGGATTTGTTTCTCCCTTGGAGAACCAGTTGTTAAACATTTACCAACACACCATTGGGTGGAACGGGGATGCACACCCACAAGTTTTCCCATTAGGAAATGCCCTAGCCCCAGTATCTACCCTCCAAGGTTTGCTTTCATTATTTTTTCTCCTTTCTTGTTCTCATGTATTTCCACATGCCCTCCTCACTTCCTTTAGCCAACCATTCTAATGTGTTTAATGTGTATCTTTTTGCTTGTTTGCATTCTTGTAAAATGTGTTTGCCTGTTCCGTGCACATATATTTTAAATTTCATAAATGGCATTACTATATATTTCATTCGTGTCTTACTTAGTTCACTCGGAATGGTTTTTAAGGTCCATCCGTGGCACTACAGGTGCATCTGACCCATTGCTTCTCACTGCTGCGTAATGAATGCTGAAGTGCATCCACCCCATTTTGCCTACCCCCCGCTCCCAGGGATGTTCTCCTAGACCCCACCCGATCCCCTCACAAGTAACATAGTGCTTGCTTTCTCGCCAGAATGGCTGCCCTCCCACCAGCAACACGGGGAAGTACCTGTAGACCCGTAGCCTCAGCCTGCCCCTGACATGAGCCAGCTTTCTAATTTTTGCCAGTCTAATAGAGGGGTGAAGAGAGAGACTTACTCTCAACATACTCTTCATAAGCTCTCCTTTCCTACACGCGCCAGCCCCTGCAGGCTGCTGCTTCTGCCCAGTCTGTTGCTTGGAGTTTCTCTGAGGACTTTGAAATCAGATGCAGCTTTCTGAGAGGGCCACTCCTGTTCCATGCTGGCCCTTTTTTGTTTTAAGTTTTTTTGTTCATCATTAGTAGTTAACAGACTAGGTGTATCAGAAGCAGGATGGTGAAAATCTACAATTTTGCTAGGTCCTGAGGACATGGCTCACCGTGCACTTCTTGGTTCCTTTGCAGAGATGTCAGCTGCACCCCATGGGCCTTCTATCCTGGGACTTTATTCTTAAAGCTGGAGAGACCTTCCTGAGGCAGACAAGTGAAGCCCCAAAGACTGCAGTCAGGGTAGAACAGCAAGTGTCTAACATGGGCAATTTCTGTTTCCAGGTCTGCACTGGTGATACCCATTTCAGAGCCCCGCTCAGAGGGGTTACTATCAGATACTTCCCCACAGAATGTGTAGAGAATTTTCTTTAGGGATTGTAGGGGAAATCTCTTAACTCCTGATGGAGACAGAGAAATCAAAGGTGAGGCTAACATGATAGCAGCCAACTCTTTGGACTCCAGCAATGCAATCAGTATTAACCTGAAGAGAAGGCACCCATCCCATGGGGCCTTAAATATGCTGAAGGTTATGCCCCTTCATGCCTGGACCTGTGCCTGGGCTGAGATTTCGGCTTGTCAAATCCAAGGAGGAGATGAAAGTTTAATACCTTGTGTCAGAAATAGCAGGAACCAAATACCAGCAAGACCAGGGCTGTTGAGTTCTGCATTTACAGCACAGTTAGCAGTTGTTCATCTGTGAGAAACAAGATAGTCAGGAAACTGTAGGCCTGCAGGTGCGCCTCAGGCCAGAGCCCAGCCCTGCTCCTTCTGCATGGCCTCAGCTGCCTGCACTGAGTGGGGGCCAAGGATCTCAGTCTGCATCTCGAAATTCAGTTTCAGGCGAGATGTCAGGCTTTATGCTGTTTACCATCAGAACCTTCTTTCCAAGCGCAAACAGGCTTCTTCACTACCAACCAATGAGGCTGGAACTTAGCGTCATGGAAGAGTGCCCAGGAGATGGCAGGCGGTACAAATATTTTTGCTGAATGAATGAACTTCCTTTAGAGACAGAGACGATTCTTACTGCAGTCCTTGTTCTGTTTCCTGTGGCATTGTAAGGTTTCCTGAGTCAAACACCCTCTCACTGGGGTGGATCCAGAAACTCAGAAACTGCAGATAGTCAACAAAACCCCAAGTTAAATGGCAGGGGACCATTAGGCAGAGAGATGGAGGAATTTTCTCCACACAGCTACCCAATCAAGAGCATGAACTTTGCAGTCAGCCTGGCCATCCTTAGAGGCCCCTGGCTCTGCCAGCTGTGTGACCTCGGCCAAGTTACTTAACCTCTGGAAGCATCTCCATCTGTAAAATGGGGGATAAAATAATCACCACACAGGGTTTCTGTGAGGAGTAAATGAAAGAATGTATGTCAGGTCCCTAGTACATCCTGACCCATCATGGGAGCTGAGAAAATGGGAGCTCTTATGAAAAACAGAACTCCCTGTAATGTAGGGACCCACCATCACTTCTGGATACACAGCTGTCACACTGCAGGAGCTTCTGGAGTGGGTTGTGGCATTACATACTCTCAAACTCTGTCAAGGACACAGTTCACCATCTGGACTACAAACTCTATTTAGAGAACAAGTGAATTCTCACTCCTTAAAATAAAATCATCAAACAGGCGTCCCCCTGCAGAAATGCTCTGGCAAAAACCATCACATTTGGTCAGCGCCCCTAAGCCCCGAGGCTAAAGCATTTGTAAACCTGCCTCTTCCCACTGACCTAAAAGCTAAGATTTAGTTTACCACTAGTTAAAAAGCAGTCAGTTTTATTCAAACAAACACAACAGGAAACCACTTATTTCAGCTCAGATCTATTTCTAATAATCAGGAAAGTGCTAAGCCTTCAGTTTCTGTGATATACACAGCATATTTTGTGAAGTTCCTGTAGTGCAGTGGTTCTCCAAGTGCAGACTTGGGACCAGCAGCACCTGGAAACTCGTTAGAAACACAAATGTATAAGCCCCACCCAGACCTTCTGAATCAGAACCTCTGGGGGATGGGGCTTAGCGATCCACTGGTGGTTCTGCCCTTTGTGGATGCTGATGGGGTCCCGCCCACACCCCCTTTAGCAGGGCACTCATCCCCTACTGTTGAGGGCCAGCTAACCACCACAGCAGCCCTTCTGGAGCGCTGCACTTGGCCAAATGGAGCCACCCTGCCAGGCGAGCCACCAGCTTCCCTGGGGAAGACCTCAGACAATGACCAGCTGGCCCCTTTGCCTCACCTGTGACTAATTCTGCCAAACAATTCATATTCTAATGCTTCCCAGTGGGTGGGAATGAAGCTGGACTGTGGTGAAGACCATACTCCTGCTCACGGCCATCCCTGGCCCCATCCAGCTCTGCTCCTGCCCCTTCTCCTGAGAGCACGCCCTCAATCAACTGTACAGGAATCCATCTCAGCTCTGCTCCTAGGGAATCTGATCCAGGGAAGTTACTGTCACAATCTCAAAAAGTTTACTATCACCAGAACATATCTGTCCACAATTGCCAAAATTATTTCTCCCAGGGCAATTCTAAAACCAGCATACCCATATCTAAGACCAGACGAACTGGGCCTTAGAGGATGTGGGTGACAGAGCACACCCCCGACTTGCAATGGTTTTTGGATCTGCATCTTTATGTATTGTGGCCCCGGGGGTATTCAGTTCCTCAGATGGTGTGGCGTGGTGGAAAAGAGAAACTGGGATTCAAATCCTGCCATCGCAATTGCAATGGGCAATAAGCCTACTTCTCTGCTGCTGCTTCACCACAAAACAGAGATGGTAACAGCGCTCAAGACACTGAGTTGTTATGAGAATTAACTGAGCATATTCAGGGCCTTAGCTTTCTTGTCTCAACAGGCATAATTATGGAACTTCCCTTACAGGGCTTTTAAGAGGATTATAAGAAACGACCCAGGTACACTTCTTAGCAGTGTGGCTGACACATGGCACATAATCAACAAATGTCAGGGGCCATTACTGCGAGCAGGCAATAAACATTCATTCCTTTCCCACCACTGGCCAGGGGATCGTAGATCTATCTGGAAGCTCCTTAAAGAGTCCCTTGCATCTCACCATTCCAATGATCACAGTAATTCATTTGGTGTGTAGTTCTTATCTCTGAGACCTAGATTTTATAAGTAAGCTCACATATATTGAGATTCTCTGTGAATTTTCTTTTTGGTAGAAAACAAAGATACCCACAGCGAGAAGGGGCTTAAAGAATTTAGCCTTCCTTCAAGTCCTGCTTAAACTCACTTGTGGACTCAGCGTTTGGGGCTTCAGGCCCTGACCAGCCGCAACCTGCTGACGAGGCTCACAGCTCAGAAGTGTGAGGACTCACAACCGAGCACTCACTCACTGTAGGAAAAGTGTTCCAGTCACAAGCCACAACTTCCTTTACATCCTGTGAGCCCTAGGCACAAAAATAAATGTTTCTGACAGCGTGAGACATTATTTTACTATAAAATATTATTTAAAGTTAATGATTTATAATTAGTCAAAGAGGTGAGAAAACACATGCGTCCTTCTGTTATCAGTTAATAATATGTTAGCTTTGAGGAACTAATCCCATTTAATCCAAAGTGAAGAAAAAGAGTGAATGGAAGCTCTGCTAGCTGGGCGGCAGGCAGGCGGGTCTGGCACCTGACCAGGGAAGGTAAGGTCAACCACGCCTCCTGCTGCACGGCCAGGAAGTGGTTTGTGTAGAAACGGGCTAGGATTCATTTGGGGACTTCTCAGTCATTCAGCTGTGACAAACTGAAGTCCTGTGAGCTGTACCTGACACCCAGTGTGTGGAAGCCTGAGAGGCTGAGAGTGAGATGCCCCTGAGCATTCGTGTCGTCCCCTGGGAGGGGGTGAGGAGGCCGCACGGAAAGACAAATAGACCAAGACATGTTCTGAGAGACCTCTGCCCTGAGAAAAGATGTGACAAGACCATATTTTTTCTATTTTTATAACATTTTATATAACTCAGAAAACAGTGCTTGTATAAAAATTCACACAAAGTTGCTAGAGAGCATACAATTTCCAAAAATGTCCTGGGTTTTTGTTACATTCAGTTTTCTAAGGATGCACTCAAATCAATGGTAAAATGCAGACATTATTCAATATTTCATTATCTTTGGTAAAACTATTCTCATTATTTTGTCTCCTCACAGTATTGACTCTGATATCCACTTTGTGCAGGGTCTGCTATCACTAGGATGTCAGAAAACATTAAGGCTGGATCTACTCGAGGCAAGTATTTCCAAATGGCAGTCACAGCCCCTTGGCCCCACCCCTACTTCATATCGTCTGCCCACATTCCAGGCAGGGTGACAGCTCAGTGACCTCCAATCAGGGGTCTGAGACCCCCCCCCCCCCTCAACCAGGCAAGAAGCAAAGATTTCAGAGAAAGGTGGAAACTGAGGCCAGCTCTACAGGAACCCAAGGGTCATGCTGCGGTGTGGTCAGGCCAGCCACTCCTACCATTTAAACAGCTAATCCACTCACCACTACGTAGATCCCATCGGTTGGTTGATGATTGCTGCTGATGTGGTACCCCCTCCTCCCAAACTTAAAGAGAAAGGAAGGTTTGGGGCCAACACTGAAGGGAGAGGGACACACTAACGCCCATGACACTAGACATGACTTTATTCCCTGTCAGACGTTCGTTGTCACGTAGACACAGCCCAAGTGAACTGAAGCAGGATTAGAACATCTAGTACATTCACGACTATCTTCATACATTCTTTAAAACTTGCTAACAGAGAAAACGAGGGACACTACCGCCTATTGTGACTTGCTATTTTACTTAACATCAGAATGTGTCTGTGCTAATTCTTTAGTCTTCCAGATAAAAGGCAAAACAAAACAAATCCAAAAAACCAACAAGTAAAAACCCAAAATTGAGATGGGGATGGGAAAGGGGTTTGCCAACAGATTTTATGGAAAACATCAAATTTTGGAAAAAATAAGTATTTTGTACTTCTATTGCTTCATGTAAAAAACTGTTCCTGGAGCCTGCCTGTATGGCTGGAGAACTGAGGACACCATACAGACAGACGCAGGACCCGCAGGCGTTTCCTGACGAGACAGTCAGAGGGACAGGAAACAGCTCTCAGAGCGTGTCCACCTCTCTTCTCTGAAAGGGACTCTAAGATTTGGGGGGAAGAAGCCCTACAAAGGAAAGGTATTAAGGAATCCATCAAAATACGACTTCTAAAAATTGAACATGCTCTAGGTTATAGAGAGACATATTTCATTCCTGGAACCTAGAACCTGTTGATTTCTCCAATGTGGGTAGATAGAATTTTTTTTTATTTAATACATGATTGTGCTTCTGAAGTTGCAGGGTCACATTCCACCCTCTAGAAAGCAGGGCAGTTTTCACATGGCTTGGAATCCTCTTCGATAAGTCCTAGAGACCAGAACAAATTCCACGGCACCCTCCAACCAGGAGGGCCAGCAGGCGAGAGTGCCACCGCCATCTTTGGGTAGGGCGTGTGTGTACAGGTGTGTGTGCGTGCATGCATGCGTTTGTATGTTGGAGAGACTAAGGCATAGAGAAAGGCCCAAGTGAGGGGGAAAAGTGAGTCTCCTGGCTCTCCAGTCCCTTCTTTCCAGGCACAAAGAGGTTGAATTTGTTATTCACGTAGGTCTCCATCTCACTTCAGTTTTTTACTAACAAATGTGTGTGTTCACGTGTAAGTGGATGAGAGAGAGAGTCATTAAGTCCTTGTGCATTTCTAAATTTCAATAATTTAGGTCTGCAATTTCAACAGAAATAATCTGTAAATTACATTTAGAGGCAAATTTACTGAAGTTAGATCAACAACTTTACATTGCTCAAAATCTTGTCATTAAAAAAAGAATGCCCACTAGGTGCAGGCAAAATGATGTCATACAGCCCTGGCACTGAAATCCTTATCAGCTGTATAAAGAAAATTCACAGATTGTTTCTATTTCTGCATTTTAAGGTAGCAAAATATGAAGCCATTAGGTTATTAAATCTATAACATTCCACAAGGGTTCATGACCGCTCTGTGTGAGTCAATTCATTTTCCAGGTTTCTGCTAGGATGTACTCAGTTTGGGTTAGACTATTTCCTTTCCCTCTTAGGTATTTAGTCCCCAGAATCAGGTAGGTAAAGGTATTGTTTTTACGGACTCTACGTACTGGGGAATTTCCCGGTTGGAACTCCTGGAGAGCACGCTGTTGGCCTGTAGCTGTGTGACCGTCCCAACCCCTGGGGAGAGACAAGATGTCTCAACCTGAGGCCAAGGGACCAGCCAGATGTAGGAGAGCAGGACCTTCTGGGGAGTCTGAGGGGAAAGCTCTGAGTGGACCCTGGGAAGGGACATGGGAGCCCCATTTGAAATGACCTGTGTCCTTCCAATACCAGGTGTCCCCAAGAGGGCCCTGAGGCTTGGGCCCGCCCTGAGGAACAAGGATGTGTACTGACTGGAGAAGCTAACACTGAGGTGTGGTGAAGTCACCAGACAGCTCCCAGAACCCGGGTTTTGTACAAATACACACACGGAAAGTAAACAGTTCTTGGTGAGCCCAAAGGGGCCCATCCTTAAATCAAACAAGAAGCCAAATAGCCACACACACAGTTTTCCAAGGAAACGTGTCTGCTGCTCCAACCAGCATTCTGGTGTGGCGAGAGAAGGGGGCAGTGGAAGGACACAGCTCAAGTGAAGACACCGTGAACAGGTTTCCACGTCTATCTACATTCATATCATCGTCATCATCATCATCCAGTGTTCTCGTCTACAGAGAGTGCGCACGACATTCTACCAACACAGCAATGACGCACGGGCCAGGCCGCGCGTAAGCCCCTTCCTTGGCACCACAGTGGAAGGGAGACTGCGGCCATGGTCAGAAACAACATCACACTACTCCATCCCCTCCACTGCCATGCAAGGGGCATTTTGACTCTTCTAAAATCAGATGTAAAAGACAAGATCAGTAAAATCGGTCTCTATAACACCTGAAGCTATTATTAGCCATCATGCAGGGAACATGGCACTTCTAAAAATTTCATAAATCTGAAACCATCTTTAAGAAAAAAACCCCAGCAACTGAAGTCATCTTACAGTACTTCACCTCAAATATTTAAAAGATTTTTTTTCTCTAAGTAAAATGGCCCCCAAAGAGACCAATGATTTTTTTAAAAAGGGTTTCTTTTTAATTAAAAAACATTTGATAAAAATGGAAGATGTAAAATGTGGGAAGAGGAACAAGAGAATTGCTGAATTTGCATTTCAAATTGTGAGGGGGTGGGGAGGACACAGCCAAGGAGAGAGAGCCCCTACTCCTGAGGCCTCTCTGCTGGCACAGCTCGGCTCTCCCCACACTCTGCACCACCAGGGCACACAGGACAAGAGGCGTAAGGACAAGAGATCAAAAATGCAAGGCTTCTTTCTCGTGGTTGGGTGGGTGTGTACGTGTGCAAATGTAGTAAGCCACTCCCCAAGAACATAAGGTGCGTGTCTGTGGATGCCATACACGTGCTCCAAAAGAACGCTCAGTCCGTAGGGTGCCCATCACTTCTCCACTTTCTTGGCTTTCTTCAGGATGTCGCATTTCTTCCTGTTGGGGCGGCGGCACCGCTCGTCAATGCTGGGGATACATTCGTAGTGCCACACCTCCTCCATCTTCTCCACGGGGTAGACGGCCTCCACGTAGTGCCGGATGAGCCGCAGCCGCGTGGGGTCCAGCTGCTTCTTGTTGCAGGCCCCGGAGTGGTTGTACTGCAGCCGCAGGTTCTCGGCGGTGAAGAGTTCCGGGAAGAGCCGGACGAGGAGGCGCGCGGCGAAGTTGCCCACGGAGAGGCTCTGCTGCACGATCTCGCGCACCTCCTTGTCCGACAGCAGGTACGGCGAAGGCACCGGGAAGTCGGGCGAGGGGACCACCAGCTCGTCCAGGGGGATCTTGCAGAAGTCTTTGCTGCTTCTCTCGGGGGGCAGCGGGGGGCCCTCAAATTCCTCTCGGAACCTCTCGGGGTTGATTGCATAGCTCGCCAGGTCCCTGCACTCGGGGCCCGGCACGTGGACCTTGCGCTGCTGCTGGTAGGAGCGCCTCTGCTCCGTGTCCCGGCGCCGGCAGCGCTCGTCCAGCTTGCCCACAAACTCCAGGGTCCAGACGCGGTCGTTCTTCGCCCGCGGATAGAGCAGCTGCACGTAGTGGCGGATGAGCCTGATGCGGGAGGGGTCCAGCTGCTTCTTGCCCAGGGAGCCGCTGCAGTTGTACTGCTTGCGCAGGTTCTCGTGGGTGAAGAGCTCGGGGAAGAGGTGCACCAGCAGGCGCGAGGCGAAGTTGCCGATGGACAGGCTGCTCTCGTAGATGCTGCGCAGCTGCTCCTTGCTGAGCAGGCAGTCGGCGCCCGGCACCTCGAAGTCGGGCTGCGGGATCTCCAGCTTGTCGAAGTCGATGGGCACCAGCCAGATCTTCTTGGACCGCCGGCCGGGCCGCTCGCCCTCGAAGCTGTCCTCCACCTTGACCACGGAGATGTCATCGGGCAGGCTGGACGAGTCGTAGCAGTCGTCCCGCGGCGGCTCGCCCTCGCTGCACGCGTCCAGCCCCAGGCCCTCGAGCTCGTCGTTGATGCGCTGGGCGCACTGCTGCAGCCAGGCCTCCTCCTCCTGCATGTCGGGGAAGTAGATCTCCGTGTAGTTGCGGATGATCTGCAGCCGCTGCGGGTCCAGCTCCTGCTTGCCGCCGTCCCCGTAGCAGCTGTACTGCTCGCCCAGCTTCCGGTGGTCGAAGAGCTCGGGGAAAAGCCGGTGGAGAAGGAAGACGGCGAACTCGCCGGGGGACGAGGCCTCATCCAGGAACTCGGTGAGGTCCTGCGTGTCCACCACGTGGTCCGAGGCGATGGTGCTGCTCCGGTCCAGGGACAGGGCCTCCTCCTGGTCCTTGCTGTCCAGGAAGTGGCCCGGGTCCACCTGCTCAGGCTCAAAGAAGCTGGCGACCTGGCCCGCCGGCTGGCTGTCCTCCATTTCCCGCTGGGCCCAGAAGCGGCTGAAGAAGTCGTTGAGCTGGGGCAGGCACTCGGCCTGCCACACGGCCGTGTCCTTCACCGACGGGTAGTAGACCTCCACGTAGTTGCGGATGAGCTGCAGGTGCAGCGACTCCAGCCTGCGCTTGGCCGTGAAGCCGCAGGCACTGCAGCCGCGGGAGAAGTCCACGTCGCTGAAGAGCTCGGGGAAGAGCTGCACCAGCAGGCGACAGGCCAGGTCGCCGCCCGACAGGCTCTGGTCCACGATCTGCTTGAGCTCGGCCGCCGTGAGCTGGTACTCAGGGGGCGGCTGGAACTTGGCCACCATCTCGGAGGGGCTTACCTGCTTCTTGATGCGGCTCACCTCCAGGGAGAGCAGGTCCACCTTGCTGTGCAGCTGCGACATGTTGGAGGAGAGCGTGTTGAGCATGTAGAACATCTTCTGGATCAGAAAGTAGATGTTAGGGTCACCATCGGTGGCCGCTGTGGCACTGCCACAGTCCCGCTTCTGTGGCTCGTTCAGGAGCCGCAGTGGTGAGGGGCTGTTGCCGGGGTTTGCCTTCTCGAAGAGCTCGTAGGTGTTGAGCGTGTCCCCGGTGGGAGGATTCTTCTTCTCCATGATCTTGTGCGAGATGCCGTACAGAGGCTTCTTGTAGGAGGGGGTGGTCACGTCGTTGCAGGGCTCCTCCTCGCCCGGCCACGCGGAGCCCAAGTTCTTGCCCCTGCCGGCCTGCTCCCCGTTGCCCTGGCAGGGCAAGCTGTTCTCCCGGTTCCGCATGCCTGCTAGGAGCGCCTGGAAAACAGAAAAGTGAGTTAGGTGGGTGTTCTGATTCATTACACCAGACACGGGTCTGTGTCACACACACAGAGGGGCCAAGGTCAATCTCAGGAGCACGTGAGAAACTGCCTCCCTCGCCCAGAATCCCTCTGCCCGGGCAGGGACGCACCACTAATACACACCTGCATCCCAGCGCCACACCTGCTCCCTCTCCCCACTTCCCGATAGAGGCTCAGGCTGGGCCAGGATGGACACCAGTGTGGACTTCCTGCCACAGGGCCTGCTGGGAGACCCAGCACAGAGGCTGGCAAGGCCGGGTGAGAAGGCTGCTAGGTTGACAGAGAGACCATGGAAATGCGAGGAGCTCCTGTGATGGCCCTGCCCTGGGCAGGTCACCTCACTGACCAGGTCCCAGGCTGCTCTCAGACAGGGATCTCGGAGGGGCTCCAGAAGCAGCAGTGTGTCCTCGTCTGCAGCCTCTAGGAGAGCAGGCGTCTCCACTCAGGACGGCTCCTGAGATGCACGGTGGTGGGCACAGAAGAACTGGGGTCTAGAGAGTGGCAGTCTGCTGCCGACCCTAATACTGCCTGGAATCACGTCTTATCTTGGACTGGAAAAGGGCAAGCCCAGAACTTCCTAGAGCCTGCGCAACTGTGAGATTCTGTAAGGTGATGGGGCCTCCCAGATTTCTAAGTCTTGGTCTCCTTGTTGGTCCAGCAGCCTTTCTCCACCAGAATTCCAGGAGAGAATTAAGCCCCACAGTCCTAAGGCACCCACTGCATGTAATGAATTAACCTTTCTCCTCTGCATACTATCCAGCCTTGCTCAACAGAGGTTCTGCGAGAGAATGAAGCCCTACCAAAAGTGATTTGGGGGACTGTTTCCTCAGCTCGCCCAAGGATGGCACACTCTGCAGGTCGACTCTTGCCAAACTCCCAGGCAAGCTCAAGATACCCTTTTAGGACCCCAAAGCTTGAATCCAAGCTCCACCACCGATGGACAGATGGCAATCACCTTGACCATCTGGAACCCAGGGTTCTCAATGCTTTCATCAGTGGTTTTCCCCATTGCCAAGCCCTGGATATTTTCAGAAGCTTATTTACACATATACATGGACAAGTGATTTCTGACAAAGGTTCAAAGGCAATTCACTGGAGAATGGATAATCTTTTCAACAAGTGATGCTGGAACAATTGTATATACATATGTAAAAATAATATTTTTTAATCCTACCACATACCATATACAAAAACTAACTCAAAATGGATTGTGGACTTAAATACAAAACCTAACTTAAAATTCTGACTCTTCTAGAAGAAAACAAAAGAAATCCTTTGTGACCTTGGTTTAGGCGAATATTTCTAAGACACAACATCATAAGTATAAACCATAAGAGAACAAATTGACAAGATGGATTTCATCAAAATTAAAAGCTTGTGCTCTTCAAAAGACACTGTTAAAAGAATGAAAAACAAGCCTAGACTGGAGGAAAATACTGGCAAATCACTTACCTGATAAAGGACTCATATCCAGAGTACATCAAGAACTCTCAAACTCAATAATGACATACAGCCCAATGAATGATTTCAAAAGCCAAAGATATATAAACGGCAAATAAGCACATAAAAAGATGCTCATTGGGGTCCAGCCTGGTGGCGTAGTGGCTAAGTTTGCACGTTCCGCTTCGGTGACCCAGGGTTTGCAGGTTCAGATCCCAGGCACAGACCTACGTGCCGCTTATCAAGCCATGCTGTGGCAGGCGTCCCACATATAAACTAGAGGAAGATGGGCACAGATGTTAGCCCAGGGCCAATCTTCCTTAGCAAAAAGAGGATTGGCAACAGATGTTAGCTCAGGGCTAATCTTCCTCACCAAAAAAAGAAAAAAAAAAATGTTCATTAGTAACAGGCACACTAAAACCACAATGAGACACCACATCACCCCCACCAGAATGGGTATAATCAAAAAGATGGACAATACCCAGTGCTGGAGACGGGGTGAAGGAACTGGAACTCACATGCGTTGCTGGTGGGGATATAAAATGGTGTAACCACTCTGGAAAAGTTGGTATTTCTAACTTCTAAAAAAGTTAAACATACATGGGACCATATGATGCAGGTATTCCACTCCTAGGTAGTTATTCACCAAGCAAAATGAAAGCACAGGACCATACAAAGACCTGTACACAGATGTTCATGGCAGCCCTGTTTGTAAGTAGCCCCAAACTAGAAACAATCCAAGTTTTTATCAACAATAAAGAGAAATTGTGTATATTCATATAATGCAATACTACTCAGCAAAGGAACTGATAAACGTGATACTCAACGATGAATCTCACAGTCATTATGCTGAGTGAAAGAAGTCAGACAAACCAAAGAGGCCAGACTGCATGATTCCATTCACAGAAAATTTGAGAAAATGCAAACTTATCTGCAGTGACAGAAGGCAGATTAGTGGGTACCTGGGGGTGGGGGGAGGGGCACAAGGAAACGAGTGGTAGCAGGTGATGGATATGTTTATCATCTTGACTGTGAGGTGGTTTCACTGGTATACACATATGTCAAAACTTATCAAATGGTACACTTTAAATATGTGCCATTCATTGTATTTCAGTCATAAATATGCTGTTTTTGACAAATATTGCATTTGACCCAAAAACTTCTTGGAATATATTTCTGAGGGTTTAATTACGCAGAAGAGCTAACTGGTGAGCACTGGGGGCTGTCAGGGGGGCAGGCAGGGTTGAAGCACAAAGCGTGTGCTTCCACAGACATGCATGTGTCTCGGGCAGCTAGAGAATGGACAAGACCAAGTGCATCCTTAGGATGCCTCCACACCCAGGGAAAAGATCCTTGGTGCAGCCTGGCCTGGCCCCGGGCTTCTGACGGGCTTCTGAAACTCTAATGTGCATGTGAATCACCAGGGGTCTTGTTAGCAGGCAGATTCTGATTCCTGCCTCTGCATTTCTAACAAGTTCCTGGTGCTGCTGGTCCTCTCTGGGTAGCAGGGAGATGGTGTCTGCTCTCAATTTATCTCATCCAGCCAGATTCAATGTCATTTGTAAGCCTTCAGATAACTAAGCCAGCACAAAAAGTACATGAGGTGTTTTTCTCTTGTAGCCTAAAAAGATGTAGGGAAAAGAGACAATCTCAAGAGGTTAGCTTTACAATGGCAGAGCAATATGGAGGCCCAAGTGAAAACAGACATGAGGCCACATAAACATATACAACTCTGCTCCTTCTGAACCTCCCACATGTTATATTTCATTTAAATTAATGAATTACTTCCTGAACCTTCTCTTTTAGATAATGGAATAATGTGACTTATACTAGAGAAAGGTTAATTTTTCTCTTGCATCTCTGCAAAAGAAAAACTACTTTACTCTCTCAGGAACTTGAAGATAAAGGTATTCTTTTTTTTTTTTTTGTGAGGAAGATTAGCCCTGATCTAACATCTGTTGCCAATCCGCCTTTTATTTTCTTTTTTTTGGTGAGGAAGATTGGCCCTGGGCTAACATCTGCACCCATCCTCCTCTACTTTATGTGGGACGCTTGCCACAGCATGGCTCCATAAGCAGTGCACAGGTCTGCACCTGGGATCTGAACCCGCGAACCCTGAGGTGCCAGAGGCGGAGTGTGCAAACTTAACCACTACACCACCAGGCCAGCCCCACCAACCCTCCACTTTTTGCTGAGGAAGATTGGCCCTGGGCTAACATCTGTGCCCATCTTCCTCTATTTTATGTGGGATGCTGCCACAGCATGGCTTGATAAGCGGTGAGTATGTCCTTGCCCGGGATCTGAACCTGCGAACCCTGGGCCACTGAAGTGGAGAGAGCGAACTCAGCCACTATGCCACCGGGCTGGCCCCAAAGCATTCTTATAAGTGTTTAATTATCCCATGTAGCTGGCCAATATTTCCTTCAGGGTTTGTTTGTGTGACCTGATGGAGGGTCAGAGGTACCTGGTCTCCCTACACCTCCCCTCTCCCCACACTTCCCAAGAGCAGAGGACCAGGGGTGTGTTGAGGTGGGGGAGCCTGCCACCTGCCCCTCTCCCTCCTGGGGTCTCCTCACTGAGTGGTCTCCACCCTCATCACACTGCATGATGGTTACATGACGGGACCATGTCATTTCGGAGTCTATCCCCAGTGCCTAGCAGAGCGCAGGGGACCCAGGAGAGCTCAATGAATGTTTGTCCACCACATGCATGGGTGGTTAGCAGGGCAGGGGTGCCACCACTCTCAAATATGTGCTATTCAGACAGGCCACCAGCTTCATGAATGACATGACTGCAGAGAGGCATAAAGGAGGGGATAAGGGCTCAGCTCAGGCTGTCCTCTGTGTGACCTTGGGCAAATGACGTGATCTTTCATGCCACAGCTTCCTGTGTGCAACTCAGGGATAAATAATGGTGCCTGCCTCACAAGGTAGTTGTGAGGACTTAATGAGATAATGTACATAAAGCACTGAGCCGTGTCTGAATCACAGCAAGTGCTTAATAAATGTTTACTCTTATAATATGATTATTATTAAACAGTGCTATTCCCAAGCTAGAACAGAGATAATACAGCCAGCCTTTTATTAAACTAGCTGTGATGATTACTCTCAACCAGTAAACAAGAGGAGGACTCTGTGCATGCAGCAGGGAAGGAGCTCATGGGAGGTCTTTTTTCCCCTTTTTTGAGGTCGGCTTGTCCTAATGGCTGGGGCAGGGAGGGGTACAGGATAACTGAGCTGAGGTGGGGTTTTAAGCTCTTTACAGTTCTTTTGTTCTGCTATCTGGCAGAAAGCAGAGGATTACTAAGGAAGGGAGGGAGGAAAGGTGGGAGGAAACCACACCCCCACATCAGAAACTTGGAGAAAGGAAGGGAGGAAGGTGAAAATCTCTACCCCTAAGGCAGCATGTTTGGAACTGTGGGTTGTGACCTGTTAGTAAATGATGATGCTGAATTGGTGGGTCATGACTAGCACAAGAAGAAAGAAAGAGGAAGAGAAGGAAGAAGTAAGAAAGAAA